GTTCACGGTCCCTTCCCACGCCGTTGGCATTTCTTGTGAAAGCCCGCGTGGCTCCGGAGGGGCCATGGGAGCTCTGAGCCCACGGACGTGGGTTAGGTGGAGCAAGGTTAGTGCAGGCATGGTCCTGGCTGTGCTCCCCCCTTTGCCTTCGGCAGGGTCCTGTGCTGCCAGCCGTTCCGCTGAGCTGGGTCCCAGCCCCCAGCCCTCCCCACCACGTCCTCCCCTCCCGCCGCCTGCTGCGCTCTCGCTGGTGCTGGAACAGCAAAACCCATTTCCATCTTAATTATACAAAAAGGCTACGCAAAGTGTTGCAGCCACATAGTTTATGAGAATACACAGGACATATATTACATAAGCGGTGGCAGAACAGGGTCCCTTATTGTTTCTGCAGGTTGTAAATTGCAGAAATCATTTTAAAATTCCTCTTGTATGTCATTTTTTTCCCCCTCTCTTCTCTACAGCCCTGTCTCATTGCAGTGCTTCTCTGTGTGCTGCAAAGACATTCTGAGCAGAACTATTCTGTTTCCCTGACTTTGAGCAGAATACATCGAGATGGAAGCTCATGGAAATTACTCCCTTTACGAGAGAGTTCTGCAATGCAGATGGACCTTGGCATGGCACTGGCTCCTTTTCCCTGCAGAAAGGAGCTGTACTTTTAACAAGACCCATTTTCCAGATGCTACCGATGGTGGAAGGACTTGTGATGCTCAGTGCTCATGACTGAAGTAGGACGGTGCTGTGGCTCGTGACACGGCACTTCCATTGCACAGGGCCTTTTTCCTTCTTTTGCATCTCTTTTCGATGTAACAAGTTCGCCAGCGAGGCATCACTGCCCTACCTGTGCTGCCATCAGCACAAGGCAGTTTTTAAGCTGACTTGTGGGAGAATCAGGCCAGTGCTGGGTATAAATGAAAATTCTTTCTGCTCTGTCATTTCTCCATGACGGACCATGTCTTATAAATGTGTAGGCCATAAAGGCAGCTGGTTGCACACCTCGCTACGCAAAGCACGGCACCTGCTGCTGCTCTGCCCATGTACCTGAACTGGCAGAGAGTTTTTCAGAGGATGGCATCACCAGCAGACGTGTATGCAACCAGGCAGCGTTGAGGAGCTTGTGCGACATTAACTGTGGTATTTGTTGGCTCCTGAGCTTGACTACTCAATATGAATATTCATTCAGGAGCAGCTCTCTGGGTAAGGCCAATATATTAGCTGTCAAAATGTAGCATGCATCAAACTTTAAAGAGGTTATACAGGAGTGGTGCTCAACGGAAGAAGGGGAACGTGGAATAGAATTGAATCCCTTTTTATAAACATCTGTAACTTGAGTAAGGCTCCTTTCCTAGGAAGCTCCAACACAGAGCTGCTCCCGTCAGTCTCTGCTGTAGCGGGTCCAGGGGCAGCCCGTGACCTGTGTGGGGGCTGCGGCAGCGGAGCCGCCCGTCGCTCAGCCTGGGCGGGGAGCGGGGAGCAGCGCGGGCGCCTCTGGGAGCGCTGACCGAGCAGTAGGATGCTCTGCAGCCCAAACCCCAAGCGCCGGCGCGTGCAGCATCATCACCCTGCGAAGTCTCCCAGACCATAGCAAGTGGTGCGCGGGTAGAGAACCGATCCCGGTACGTGGTGCATGGAGCACAGGACTGATCCTGGTACATGGTGCATGGAGCACAGGACTGATCCCGGTACGTGGTGCATGGAGCACAGGACTGATCCCGGTACGTGGTGCATGGAGCACAGGACTGATCCCGGTACTTGTTTTGTCCTCTGGAACGTTTTTACTGCACCATTTAATTTTCAGCTTTTAGCTGACTGTTCTTTCCCAGCACTTGCCATGGAAATATTTCTTCCCTTCCTGAGCTGTTACCTGCATCAGTGTCTCCTGGGCCACAGGATCATGAGCACAACGGAGAGGAACATTTTCACTGTTATGTTGGTTGATTTTTTGCCAGTAGTTTTTATTGTTGGTTGCGGAAACTCAGAAAAAAAAAATGTTGATACTGTTTATATTGTGATTTACATCTTTACCCTTTCTTTGCCCTGTTATGGTCCAGTGAAGTAATTTAATTTGAAAACCTAACTGCTGTGTTTTTAAAAATTTCTTATTTCCTTACTGCATTGAATATTCCAAGTGGCTGTGTTTGGAAATTACTGTATGAAGCCAAGTTCAGCCAAAATATGGCAAGCCCCCGAATACAAATTATTTTTGCTCTTTCACTGTACAACAGCTCCACCACCAATGAGTTCCATCTTTCCGTCATGAAACCTGGCTGGAAGCAGAAGGTTTTCAAGGCAACGGCCAGGACATGTGAGAACTACTTGCCATGGGGAAGTCTAGTTTTTGAGAGGGAGTGGTGGGCTAAAGACAGCAATTATATAATGTGAAGGCCTTCAGTACCAGAGGACTGAATTCAGTGGTCTTAATTTTGACACGCTGAAACAGTCTGCCTAGCCTGAAGTCCGTAGGAATTGTTTTTCTATTTTAGGGTTCTGGTTCAATTTGGACTGAAACCTGAATTGACTTTCCCCCCCCCATCCCTCAAATTACATCATCTCCAGTAATATTTGCAGTAAAACTTCTTCTTCCAAAGTCTGGTACATAATGTCTTCTCATAAAAATCCTCATCTAGCATCAACTAAAATTCTTATCTTTATGGTCATGAGACATTCCTTTTTTTGAATACCCCCGGTAAGTGATGCTAGACTTCACCATCTGGTAAGATTTTTATCCCATTGTATTTCTTTTTTGTATCGGAAGACTATAATTTGCTTATATTGCTTGCAATTCCACTTCTCAGTATTATTTGCCAGACATTACCATATCTTTGCTTCCTCATTTTATTAGTTCGTTACTAATTTACAATATCAATGATCAATGTAGTCTAAATATATAATCAATTTTACTCAGAACAACACGTTAGCCTTTCTCTTTATGCCAATGGAAACAAGAGGTGAGCCCATGGGCAGGGAAATGATGTGTTCACGTTTATTCTGCTTCTCCATCACTCTGGTTTCCAGCAGCCCGGTTTATTCCTGACAGCAGCTCCAGCAGAAGGTTTCTCAGCAAGTCTGCCTTGCCAGGAACTGAACAGCCATTTTCTTCATCCGTTCCTTTAAAACAAACATCCAGCTCTCATTCTGTATGTTTTCAAAATCCCACTTTTTTGAAGACATCGTCCACCTAATCCTGCCAAACCCCCTCCTATTCCGCTGGTGAAGCTGCTGCTCACTAACCCCTCGCTGACCAAGAGTGTCGCCTCCCACAGCTCCTCCGGAGGAGGCGGCGGCACACAAGGGATTTGCAGTTGAGAGAATCGTCCACAAAAACTGGACTTTTCTCACTCACTAAAGATTTGTCTGCCAGAATGAGTCTTCAGCAGCAATGGTTTCAAACGGCAAGGTAGGGAGCGATGCAGGAAAGGTTGCTTCTTACCCAGGAGCAAAAGGGTACAGCCTAGTAAATACAATTTTTGCCATTGCTAATAAAATGCCTTCGGCTTTCTACTGACCTGGCAATGCAGAGTGTTAAGATTTGTCTGGGCTTGTCTTGTCCTGAGCTGCTTTTAGTTTGCTTTGGCTGTGACAGCGATTGTATAATGGCCAGGTGACTGCTACCTAACTTATTTTAGCTTAGCTCTGTAAATACCACACATGGCAATGTCTAAAAGAACCTAAACAGTCACTGTTCACAAACGTTAGCTCTTTCTACTGACCGGCCGGGAGAGGATGGTGTGTGCTTGACCTAACAGCTAATGGGGAAGAAAGTCACACGTCAGCTGGGTCCCAGTGAGGAGAGACCGTGTTAACATATTGTTGTAGAAAATGAATAAAACTAAGCCCAAGCTGGTGTAACACTGAGGAGGATGAAACCCTCGGCAGCAAACACATGGCTTCCAGGGCAAAAAGCCAACGTGCAAATGTACCTCCTGGACGACATTTCAAAGTGCTCTATTTCCATTAAAATAACCTCTTCAGTTAACTAAAAGGAATTAATAATATTCTTATCTATTTTCAAGACCTTATTTCGTATCCATCAAGCCAAAACATGAACCATAATTTTAAAAAATCAGTGTACTTCTTGTCTGGGACTGTGGATCCGGAGGTGCAGCTGAAGGGAGATCACTATAACAAAATGAAAGGCGGAGGCTCGGTCTGTGAGCCAGGGGAAGGATGCTCCACCCTCTGCACGAGGCCACCTCCAAACCTGATGATACTCTCGGCATCTGTGCTCAGAGGGCTTCTTTAAGATACTACGGCGACTTTATTTAGCACAGTAGGAAGAGGGCCACTGTATTTTTTTCAGCTTTCTTACTTCAGCTTTTCCAAAACAAGTCACACTGTACATAGAGTTGTTTTCACCTCACAATTCCTTAACGTCAGTAGAATGCAAAAAGATGAAGATAATGAAATATGAGTGGAAAAGGAACTGGGTTATGTCTACAGATGATGGCTACAGCCAATGGATGCCAACGGAGAATGATGTGAACTTTACAGAAAGTGCAAAACTGGGAAACGTGTCCAAGCACTCACCACCCAAGTTACTGAACAGAAAAAGATCTAATGCATGCTGGGTTGTAGCCAGGTTTTCCTCCAGTGGTATGGGTTGGCCATGATGAAACTGTCAGCCAAATTCAAATTATATTTCATGTTATATTTCAAGGAGGGGGACCAGAAGGACCTTCTCCAGCAGCAGTGACGCTCCCTCACAGCTGCGGGTAAGGTATCACTGCGAGTTTAGGCACCAGGCTTCCCACGGGACATGAGGCAGCTGCGAAGAGCCAGGAGGAGTAACAGGAGTCATCACAGCTCTCAAAGTTAACTTTGATGAGAAAGGATGGAAAGAATTATAATTATTCATCCAGAAGACTGAAGGGAAAGTGGTAACTCTCTGCAAATAAGTAAACGCCTGATGCAAAGACAAAAGGAAGTTGTGACGCTGGGTGGCATCGTGGAGGAGAATGAGGTGTTCCGTCACCGTGTTAGACACTGTAAAACCCTTCCGGTGATGTAGACAGAGGTCCACTGTGCTGGCAGGATTTGAGGCCAGGTTTCAGCAGGTTTCTGTCACTCAGGATGACGTGGGGGCAGCTGAGCGTGTTCTGGACAGCAGAGGAGACGCGTCATCCCTGGGGTTTCCTTCCACCCTTGTTCTTCTGTGGATTCCAAATAGGAGAGGAGAGGCCCAAGGTAGCACAAGGCATTAAATAATTCTTATTTATGAATTGGATTATGGCATCAACTGAGTATGTCAGCCTAGGTTTGGGATTATGGCACCGTGAAATTTATATCTCCATGCATAAACTGAAGATATGCCTTTCCTCAAAAATTTTTACAATCTGAGTAAAACCAGCAATGAGGTAACTAGACTGAATTTAATGATATAATCATTTTGTCAAACTTTATACAAGCTATATTTCTCAGTCCTTAAAGGAAGCTTACTCTTTAAGTCATAGCTCCCAAGCACTTAGCACAGAGGCCCGCATGGGGCTGACACGTGCGTTACTTCAGGTGTTATTTTCAGTCTCGGAAGGGGTCTGAGCTGCACTTCTAAAATCTGTGCAAAAGTGGGGTCTAGCCAAGCCAGAATAAAAATAAATGCTGGTGTGTGAAAACAGATGTGGCCTGCTTCATTTAAATGTAATTTAAATTAATTTTTTTTTTTAAAAAAATGCACATACAAATACAGTTATCAAGAGAAAATTAGGCATTAAATTTATGGCGTTTCGCCACATTTATAAATTTCAGTAGAAAGTTTTACACAGAGCTGTAAGGATTCAAGTACTTCATGGGGATTTCAGCGCACCAGCATCTGATGCTCCTGCATATACACAGGAGATACTTCAGGAAATGTGGCTCAGCCCAAGGGGGATTTTTAGTACAGGTGACCCAGGGAAAAGCATGGCAAGACTAACCGCAGTACTGACAAAGAGCAGCTGGGTCAGGACAGCACAGACCTCTTCAGCCACGTCCGGAGTACGAGGACAGCAGCAGGGACAAGCCACATAAAATACCTCATTAAATCTGAGATAGGAAATGTAAGATGATAAATACTTCACCACCACCACCCCCCAAAAAAAAAAAAAAAAAAAAAAAAAAAAAAAGTTAAATCAGATTTTGCTTTTTATCGGGCATAAGATCTTCTTCTTTATCTCTTAATGTAGATTTATTCTGGCATAAAAACCGTAGTCTGATAGGATGACACAGTGCTTTAAAATTATACGTTGCCTCACATGCCCCTCACATGTATGTGCTCCATGCATATGGCCCAGGATATATTTAACACGCTACTGTTCCTTGATGCTTTCAAACATCTGAATTCCAAAGCTTGCTGCACCCGAAGTGTTAATTGCTGCAGCTGAACAGCGTTTGCTGTTGATGTGATGCAGCAGCCGGTGTGCAGGAGAATTTTGACACTGAAGGGAACCACACAGATTAAAATTGGAGTTGTGACTTCTTCGCGAAGTGTTTGATGTGCAAGATTTATTTTTGTGTGATGTTACAGTTATCTCCTCCGCCCCGTGACCAGAGTTTGGAGCGACGCCACGTGCCCTGAGTGAGCTCGGCTGGTGCAGAACAGCCCATCTGTTTAGCAACACCACAAGCTTTGCTCTTTCCTGGCTCCTCACCCAGAGAGCCCAGTTCAAAGTGTCTGGCCTGATTAGGCCAACAGCAGCTGTGCCTTTGGCCGCTGTTTGAAAGGACAAGAGCACCCAAACCGAGACCGAAGTGCCTGATCATCCCACATCACACGGGCTAAATGCAAACGTCATCAGGAAGCACTGTGCAAGGGCAGACTGTTTATAAAAATACAGGCAGAAGGTTTAACAAAAGATCTTTATAATAGAAAGCTGCAATGTTTTTTTTTGTGTCCCCCCCCCAAAAAAAAATCTGGAAAATTCAAGTATATTTAATTAAAATTTTTGAGTAAATTCAAAGCAATGTGTAGTCATAGTCTGTCAGGGCTGTTGTAGTTGTCTGAGTCACTTAACTTACTAGAAAAGACACTTCAGCGTGGAAGTCATTCCATCTCTACTGATGAGCCTCAGACAACCTTGAGACAGAAAGTGCTGCTTTTTAGCACTACCAGCTCGGAAAACCAAACCTGTTGATTTCTGTTCCCGAGGAGGGGCCGGGTACGCCAGCGGGAGCCAACCGAGCCGTCGCGTCTCAGCCTCAAAGCTGCACCTTGAAACTCCCATCCTGAGTCTCACTTCCATGAAAAACCACAAGGACAACCTTCCATTTAACACCTGAGCGACTCCCACTGGCAGTGAGCGCCAGCAAATCTGCTGCCGGTGATGAACGAGGGAGCATGGCAGCCCCAGGATTAGGGCTGGGGGTGCAGGGCATGATCCCAGAGCTGGGACCTGGCCCTCGGACACGTCCCCTGCATCCTGCTGCCTGCCGGGCCAGACCCCCCCTCACTCCAGCCAGCCCCCGTTCCTGCTCCTGAGCTGCTGGGAGCCCCCAGCCGCTCGCAGGGGACGTGGCCTCCACAGCAAACACAGGCTGTGAGCATCTCCTGTCCTCCACATCTGCTTAGGAACAGCATTAGATGTGCGATTTGGGGTTGATGAATAGCTCAGGAAGGAGATTTATGGACCTTGCCACGAGCCTTTCTACCCATCCATCTGTCATGCCAGGAGCCTAAATGAGAAAATTCAGTTTAATACAGTGCTTGTGCTCCTGCTATGCAAAACACAGCACTTCAGAGTTAGATGCAAAGCGCTGGACGTCCCACGTGTGCTCAGCACAGTCTTCAGGGGCGAGGGAAGAGCAGGGCACTGTGGCACAGGGACAGAACAGCCACACCCCTGTCCAGGCAGGATGGAACATGGCCCCTTGTCACGTCTCCTTGGCCATAGCTCCAGGGATAACGTCCCTCCTCCTCGTGTGGCTCTTGGTCCAACGCCCCACCAGGCTCACAGGCTCAGTCCCAAGACTTGCGCTGAGCCTTAAGACCCCGCTGCCTCTCCAAAGCCCAGCTGCACCCCATCCTGCTTGGCTCTGCCTAAGCAAAGCCCCTGGGATGTGACGCTTGGGAGGGGATGTGACACTTGAGAGGGGATGTGGGAGCCGTTGTAATAGCAGCGCTGCCCCCAAACTTCTTCCTGCAGTTGGTGTGGGAGCAATAAAACCTCGTTATTTCTGCAGTGAGGAACTGGCAGCAATGGAGGCAGCTACCAAAGGCGAACCCAGAGCTTTAATCGATGCAGAGTGACACCAGCAGGCCCGTGGAAAATACTAATCCGCCATAACAGGAGGCGGCTGTGCTCCACACGAGTTTTATTCTCGGCGCCTGGGTACTCTCGTTAGCACATCCAGCACCCTCACCCCATGGCACATGCTCCCCTGAACCAAAATGCTAGGAGAAACTCCAAATTAATACTTGCAAATCATGGCACGTTTTCCCTGCACATAAAGCTGGTTTTTAAACTTCAGTTATAAAGAAAATTGAATAAATAATTTAGGGGAAAAAAAAAAAAAAGAAGAGCCACCATTTTTCATTCTCGGGGAAAGGGAAGAGGTTCAGCCAAGCAGCAGCAAGGAAAGGCCGTACTTCAGTGCGGGAGCAAATGACCTCCTGAGGGACCCCGAGAGGGCTGAAACAATTCTTTCTCTGCTCTGGAGACACCTCTTTTTTTTTTTTTTCCCCCCTTTCAGTCACTGCGCTCAGGCCCTTATGGGGAAGATATTTGGTACACCAGAGCCTCCAGTCCTTTGCCTATGAGTGACTTTTTTTCACTCCTCTACAAAGCTCTTTCAAAAAAAAATAAAACTTCTTCTGTGCTTTTCGGTACCTAGTCTCAGGGGAGTGGTGTCGCTCCAGGGATGATATTTTTGTGTGCTCCAAGCCCCACAACACAGTGCTTGGTTTTGTCTTATTTGCATGTTGTAAAGGTGCTATTGAGTGGGGAATTTAGTGCTCCAACTCCATCCTCAGTGTTTTTCCATCTCCTGTGCCTATGCAATAATTTGTACTCTACGAGATGTGCAGTGACCTCTTTTTTTTCAATGCAAGAAATGTTTTCATTAAAAATAAAATAGCAGATACATCAAGACATTTCCTCTTGTAAAGCCTCATGTTCTGAATATAAAACAGGAATAGCCAATCTCTACAAGGCTTTCTTATCGTGGTATGCAGCTAAAAATGAGAGAGCGAGAGAGAGGGAGATGGGGCTGTTGCATAACACAGATAAAACAAACTTTACAGGCAGCTCTATAACTTCCATAAATAGATGATTAATAGTAGTAATCGTAACAACAACAACAACAAAATCGTCGAATCATAGTCTTTGTTTCAACAACGTATTGAAACAACTCAAGGAGGGATTCAGGGCTTCCAGGAACCTGTGGTTGTAGAGAGGACCTTGCAGCGAAGCCAAGGCTGCCCCAGCTCAGTTTACCCAAGACCCAGCTGCATTTTTCCCCCTTCCCAGCTGCCCTCAGGTTCTACGAGAGTTCTGAGGTCTGGGCTAGTGCCATCGCCAGCACAAACACGGAAACGAGGTAAGAAAATCTATTAAATAAAGGGTCTCTACTCTGGGTATGCAAGAGGCAGCAAATTCATTGGAAGATGCTGATGTGAAGCAGCTCACGGACAGTGTTCAGAGGGGCTGGACTTGGCTCAGTGTTTTCTTTAAATACCCAACTCACTGCACTCAAACCCAACAGCAACAGATATCTGCTGTGATATATTGATAACACGCACCAAATTGGGACCTACATATAATCTAGGTACAGAAAGCCGCATTTTCGTAGCTATTCACCGCAGGCCTTACACAACGTTCCTTTTTAGCTGAAGGTACGTAGTCCCATTCGCACTGTGAATATTTATAACCATGAATTTAAATGATCTCTTTTTCAGTAAGGAGTCTTAATATTCTAAGGCTGGTTAAAGCATTTGCTGGAAAATAGTCACAATGTGAACAGAAAATAGGAGCGAAAACTATCAAAACAAATTCAGGGAGACATTCGAAAGCTCACATACAGCATTCATATCAGTTCATTTGATCAGCTGTTGTCTTACTGGTGCACTGACTAGCGCAGAGCTCAGCAGGCATGGAAATTAGTTATTTCCACCATCTTGAGGAGACAACATTAGTATGCTGACACTAAACTCATGGCTTCTGTAACTAATATGCCTTGTTGG